ATCTTTAGGCTTGAGGCCTAAAAGTGGGATATTTGGATTGACAGGTTAATATATATGCAATTTTACTAGAAAGTGCCAAATTCCCCTCCCCCTGGATTATACCATTTTTGCGTTCCCACCAGCAAAAAATTAAAGTGTTCCCTGACTGCTTTGTCAACACGCTTTGCTGTCTAAACTTTTAGATTTCTGCCAATCTGAGAGTTGGGAAATAGTATCTTTGTGCAGTTTTCATTTGCATTTCCTTTAAGTGTGACTGTACATCTTTTCACATATTTAAAGGTCCTTTATTTTCATTATTGTGTGTGTGAATTGTGTGTGTATATCTCCTGTCTATTTTCCACAAGGTGATGGTTTTCCTTTTCTTCTCCAAGTGATGAAGCCCTTCGTATATTTATGAAGGATACTGATGGTGATGTGCTGAGAGCCCGCCTACAAGCACCGACTGTTAAATCGTCAGGAATTTTGTGACCCAGCTGATGTCACATGGGTGCAGGTGAGCGCATTTTGGCAACTTAAAATCTACTGTGGTGGGAGGGTTTACACCATGGCAATTGGCAAAGACTGAACCAGGAGTCCTCCTTGCTCTCCAGAACACAATCAGACAACATTAATCCTTTGTAAGTCGGAAATACCTATCGCAGTTTTTAACTTGTCTTTTTATTTTGCTTACGATGTGTTTCGCTAACGCAAAAATTTTACTGTCACTGTTGTTTTGTATAGTCCAAATTTCAGTCTTTTCCTTAATTGCCTCCGGATTTTGAGTTCAGGAAGTTTCCCCAATTCCTTAATTATGGAGGAATCCGCTCTTACTTCCTCCTCGTAATTATACAGCTTTGTTTCTTTAAAAAGTTTTTAAATCTTTGACCCATCCGGAATTCATCTTGTGTAGAGAAATGGATATGACTGTCTGGCTATTTACCCCAATACTATTTACAAAGAAGGACTTTTTCCTCCATTGATTTCAGATGCCAGCTTTATCACATATTCAATTTCCAGATGCAATTATTTTTGGATTTTCTACTCTGTTTCATTGATCTATGTATTCATGCCCCAATACCATAATCTTATTGTACAAGCTTATAATGTTTTTTTAAAATTGTTTTAAATGTTTATTTACTTTTGAGAGAGAGACGGAGTATGAGTGGGGGAGGGCACAGAGAGAGAGGGAGACACAGAATCCGAAGCAGGCTCCAGGCTCCGAGCTGTCAGCACAGAGCCTAATATGGTGCTCGAACCCACAAACCCTGAGATCATGACCTAAGCCCGAGTCAACCGCTTAACCGACTGGGCCACCCAGGAACCCCAAGTCTTTTATGTTTTAATGACTGGTAGGGCTGGCCTCATTTTCTTCTTTCTCAGAGCTTTCCCAAATATTCTCATTGATTTAATTTTCCAAGGCTCCTTCTTCTGTTGCTTTTGCAAAGTGTTTTAAAAAAAAATATGGGCTTGGGCCGCCTGGGTGGCTCAGTCGGTTAGCGTTCAACTTCGACTCAGGTCATGATCTCACAGTTCACGAGTTCAACCCCGCAACAGGCTCTGTGCTGATAGCTCAGAGCCTGGAGCCCGCTTCGGATTCTGTGTCTCCCTCTCTCTCTGCCCCTCCCTCACTCTCGCTCTGTCATTCTCTCAAAAATAAACAAACATTTAAAAAACAACAACAACAACAACATGGCCTTGTATTTTCTGACTTCTGCCTCCTCTGTAGGGTCCATAACCCTACTTTAGTTGAGACCTTCTCTTTCTTTTTCCCCTGATGTTCTTGTCCTGGATAAGTTGAATTCTACTCACAGACGTTTCCTCGGACAGAAAGCATTATGTAAACTTCATCTAGCATTGTGAATCACTAATTCTGTTCCTGAGTAGCTATGGGATCTGGGGGCAAAACCATCTCCAGATTTTTTCAACTATACATTGAAAATAAAAAATAACCTATTTCATAGGGGGTTTGTTTTGTGCAATTAGAAATAATTTTCAGGCAGTTCTCAGTCCTACCTGTCAGTAGAATTTGACTCACTTAATTACTCCCTCCTTGGTACACAACTGGCTGACTTCCGGCTGACCCCACACTCACCCTAACTTACCTTCCCCCTCAGGCTCCCTCAGTGTTGCCTCCTCAGCCTAGAAAGTGGGGGGACTCCAGAACTCAGACTTCAGACCTCTTCTCCTCTCATCTAAATTCACTCCCCTAGTGAGTTTATACTATCTTCAGAATTTAAAGGATGACTCCCGGGGGCCTGGGTGGCGCAGTCGGTGACACGGTTACACGTCAGATTCTTGGTTTCGGCTCAAGTCATAATCCCAGGGATGGAGGCCGATGTCAGGCTCCTCGCTGAGCACGGAGCCTGCTTGGGATTCTCTCTCTCTCTCTCTCTCTCTCTCTCTCTCTGCCTTTCCCCTGCAATCCCTCTCTCTCTCTCGCTCTCAAATTTAAATAAACATTCCCAAACTTTGTATCTCCAGCCCAGACCTGCACTACATACTCAAAATCTGTACACCTAACTGCTTCCTTATCAACTCCCACTGGACGTCTCAAAGATATTACCAATTTAATGTATCCCAAAACAACTCTAATATTCTCCCCCAAACCTGTTTCCCTTACGGTCCTCCCAATCATCTCAGTTAATGACAATTCTGTTCTTCTAGCAGCTGGTGGAGGGGGGGGCACTTTTTGTCCACTCTCTAATCCACCTATCCCTGGGTTCATCCATGTGGCCACAAGTGGCAGTGATGAGGTCTCGGACTGGTGGGGGTTCGGAGTTAACAGCCAAGAAAGAATTCTTGAGACGTCTTTGGTGCAAAAGTGTGATTTTACTGGGGCGCCTGGGTAGCTCAGTCAGTTAAACGTCCGACTTCGGCTCAGATCATGATCTCACAGTTCGTGAGTTTGAGCCCCACATCGGGCTCTGTGCTGACAGCCCGGGGCCTGGAGCCTGCTTCGGATTCTGTGTCTCCCTCTCTCTCTGCCCCTCCCCTACTCATGCTCTGTCTCTCTAAAATGAGCAAATGTCAAAAAAAATTTTTTTAATTTTTTTTTTTAAATGGCCATTTTATTAAAGCACAGGGATAGGATTCATGGACAGAAAGAGCTGCACGAGGGTTGTGCAGAGTGACCAGTCATATACTATGGAGTTGGGGAGACAGAGTCAAATAGGAGGCCTCCAGAGGGACTGGGATGTGCTAAGGAGGACTCCCAGGACACCTGAGGCCTTGCTGTCTTCAAGCAAAGGTGGTTTTCCCTCTAGTAAGGCATTAACATCAGGACAGCAGGGGGTTTCTGGAGAAATGTTCTACTCTGTATGTGCCTCAAGTATTTGCCAATGGGCTGCAGGTTATAAGGAAGTTTAATCTTACCTGCCATTTCCTTCTTGCCTTTGTTCCCACATCACTGTGGACGGGAGGGTGACGTTGGGGCTCCAGGATATGAGGTTTCTGGAGATTAGGCTGTTGATAAGATTGCCTTTTTCTTGGAATTTACTAAGATATTTGTAAACCGATGGAGACTCCCGTCAGCAGGACTGGGGTCTCCATCAGTTAACTATTTGTTTTCTTTCCTCCCCTTTGTCCTTGGGCAGCCAAGGTGCCTGAGGAATGCCACCAGTATCCAACCTGGGGTGGGGGGGGGGAGGAGGGGGGTGATGCCAGCTTGTGCTTCCCCCTCGGCTCGCCTGATGCTCCCTCATCACCAGCTCAGCTTTTCCAGGCCGGAATGACTGTGACGGCCCGGCGTCCCGCCATAGGGTCCATCTCAGGCTTCTTCAGACCCTGACTTCTGCAGGATTCCTAGAAGGCAAGCCCCAGCACACAAGCCCTTCCTGAATCTCTTGTCCACGTACATCCTCTGAGGTATTACCGTGAACTCAGAGCCCTTACCGCACTAGGCCCCGCTAATGCCTATGTATGGAGAAATGCCCGTGTTAGGCCCAGCCGCCCAGACACCTCCCACAGCTCGGCACTTACTTACTCATTTGTCATCAACGAACTTTAGCCAAGCTGCAATTAGTCGACAGCTTTGTGGGGCCTGTTGATGTGACCACAACACTCAGCTTTTTTTCTCCCCGATGACAGGATGATTCCTCTGCTGTTTTGTTTGTTTGTCTAAACATTTTTTTTTTCTAAGCCAAACTTCCTCAAGATTTTCTTTTAGGGCCCTTTTGCAGCTAAAAGCTCAAATGTTCCCGGCGTTGGAGATTAGAAGTACTTTCTCTACACCTTCAGGTTTTCTAGTGTTTCCCCACTTGGACTTGTGCAGACTTTTCCCTTCTTTTGTCACTTCTGTTTTGTAAGTTTTCCACTCCTTTCGTTTGTGTTCTTTTTCCTTACGTAATCCCTTCCTTGGCTTTCCTTGGGTTATTTTGATGGCCTTTTTCTAACTACAAGAACTGAATGTGTAAGTCATTTGTTTTCATTCTCTTTTCTTTTTTTTTTAATTTTTAAATGTTTATCTTTGAGAGAGAGAGGAAGAGAGACAGAGTGGAGCAGGAGAGGGGCAGAGAGAGAGGGAGACAGAATCTGAGGCAGGCTCCAGGCTCTGAGCTGTCAGCACAGAGCCTGATAGCGGGGCTTGAACTCACAAGATCATGACCTGAGCCTAAGTTGAACGCTCAACCCACTGAGCCACTCAGGCGCCCCTGTTTTCATTCTTTCTTAATCATGAATAAATATCACAACCTATTCAATGTCTGTCTTCCTTCCTTCCTTCCTTCCTTCCTTCCTTCCTTTCTTTCTTAAAATGTTTATTTTTGAGAGTAGGGGAGGGGCGGGGGGGGGGGATAGATACAGAATCTGAAACAGGCTCCAGGTTCTGAGCTGTCAGCATAGAGCCCAATGAGGGCTCGAACTCATGAACTGTGAGATCAAGACCTGAGGCAAAGTAGGATGCTTAAGAGACTGAGCCTCCCAGGCACCCCATCTAAGTGCAGTGCCTCCTACCCATTAAACGCCCCCTCTAGCCTCCCAGCCCCCACCCCCGCCATCCAGTCCTCCAGCTCAGATACACTTACCCTGTGGCTGGCATTGTAGTGGACACACGTTATTTTAACAACTCGTGCCAATCTTCCAGGCCCATGTTACAGGTGAAATAAGCACTCAGATGTCTGTCTTGTGATGCCTGGCTGACTCAGTCAAAACAGCATGCAACTCTTGATCTCAGAGTCATGAGTTCGAGCCCCACCTTGGGTGTGGAGATTACTAAAAAGAAAAATAAGTAAACTTAATTAAAAAAAAAAAGTCAGTCTTGTGTTTCCATTCCTGGAATAGAAATATCTGAACAGTTTTAAGGCTTTGCCCCCTAACCGTGCCTTCCTCCCTCTGTCCTCTAACTCAACACCCAGAGCAAATGCCATCTCTGCAAAGTAAAGGTTCCTAAAGCACTGACCACCTGGTATAACACAGCCTCCCTCCACACTTTCACACGTTCTATTTTGTTCCTAACACTGATCTCAAATTATCTTGCTCGTTTGTTTCCTTGAGACGACCTGCCTCCACCACTAAACTTAAACTTCCAGGAACAGAAACTAGGTGTTGTTCAACACCGCACTGCCGAGGCTTCACTGAAGAAATACCCATGGCATCAATGCGTTGCCGAAAGCAGAGAATGGAGCTTGTGCAGGAACCGGCACTTCTAAGACTCCGCTAAAAGTAACAACAGCTACTCTTGAATCTGAAAGCGTGATCCTGGGAGATCAGAGGCACCCCTCCAGGGCTGGGACTCAGGGCACCTCACTGAATTTCGGCTGGGTGTCCCCTCCTGTGGTGGGGGGCAGCAAACGAGCCTAGTCACCCATTGTGATTCTACGCACAACAACGTACCTTAAAACCTGCGCGAAAGCAAGTGGGGAGGAGGAGCGGTCGCCCGGCCGCAGAGGAGGGGGGGAGGTGCAGGCTGGGAGTGGGGGAGGAGGGGACAGTCTGGAGACCCGGGGG